GGTTCTTATTTTATATTCTAGCTTGTCAATATCAGTAATTTGAGTTCCTAATCCGTATGAAACTATAGACTTAGTATTTTGACATCACAAACTTCTAATGTGAACCAGTGCTACATTCAACATACCATGCTACACACAAAAATCAATGTTTAACTGTGTTTCTTTAATATTTACTTTTAAATTAAGAAATTGAGTAATGTATAATACTAAGATTTGAATTATAATCTACAGTTTGATACCAAAGTTATTGATATAAATTCATGAAATAGTAGTTCAACAAAATTTTGAATGCAAGACAACAAATGCAATGACATGACCTGTAATTCATATAGAAAGGGTTAAAATACTTGCAAATGGTTTCATTTTATAATGAATTTTTTATTCACAAAATATAAAAGCATTTTTTACTGGATTTATATCATAAAATAATAATAAACACACACACACGCTCATAATTTCAGACCTATGTTTCAATTTTTTAATCATTCAAGATGCTATAGATTCATTTGAATTTTATTACACAATATTTTCAGTTCTACTGACCTACTTTTACACTGTGGCCAGTATCCTGTTTGAACAATTTTCTGTACTTTGACACCCATACAAGAAGATTGTATTTGCTTATTATTTACAGATTTTTTATGAATTTCATGTTTTTTAGATATGTACAATTCATTCTTAAAAGTTTTTTTTTCACAGTATTACCTCTAAAGGTGTTAATGTCTTCTTGCCTCCACTACTGTAATTTACCATTAACAGAAGTTAGCATAACCATCTCTGTACATTGCATAGTGTGAAGTGAACTTATCATATTACCAGATAAACCCAGTACTTTAACAAACTAAGCTGACCTGAGTGGTCTTAAATGTCAGTTCTTTTGAGTATAATTACAAAGTGATAAGAACCAAAATTGTTTGTATAAGCCACTTAAAACATAAAGTATTTAAAACGTTTATGCAGAATCAGCTAAAACCTGGAAACAGTTTTCAGATGATGCCTTTTTTTTCCTCTGCACAACAAATTCATAACTATTGAGTTACTAAGTACTTCCACGGTTCTTTCAAATTTACTCATATTTATTCTTAGAGTAAGACTTCCATTTTGATTTTAACTTATTTTTTTAAAAGGATTTTCAAATTACATACTTGTACTAGAAACCAACTGAACAATCTACATTACCTGCACTATAAGAACTAGTACCCTGCAAGTACTAAATGTAAGATTATACACAGTAAATTATTAAAAATAAAGAAAGTCTGGCATGAATATCAAAACTACAATGGTCATATTGAGTTTTTCTATTTAAACTAAAACCAAGAAAGCTTAGTGATGCTGTAAGTATATATAACAAAACAATAGCACTGTTAGAGCTCTTCCCAAGTCCCATATCAGTTATCACCTATAATCAAAATTACAAAATATTCTCTCTGTCATAACAATTTTCATTTGGAATTGATCTTTCTTGGTTCATGCTAAGACCAATTAGAATCCTCTATGTATATGAAGCATTTTTTTAAAGACAGAAGTTGTGAAGCTTCTTGTCCACTTTTCTGACTTACCCAATCAGAAACAGTATAAAACCACAAAACTCATCATTTGTGCCTCTAAGATAACTATTTACCTATTTCAGTTTCAAAGATATAACTTTCAGTTTGTTGTACTAACCAAAAATACAACAGATAAATGATTCAAAAACAATAAACTTCAACATGCCTAAACATTTCTTTGATCTGAAACTTATTGGTTTGAAATAATAATGAAAAATAACTTTAAAATAACTTAAGCTATATGGATAGGAAAAAGAAGCTGCAGTAGTTGGTTGTTAAGCTCAAGGCTACACAACTGGCTATCTATGCTCTGCCAACCATGAGTATAGAAACCCAATTTTTAGCACTATAAGCACCCAGACTTACCGCTGAGCCACCAGGGATCACAGAGATAGGAACCCTGAACATTATCACCTCTATCAGAATTAATCTGAACCATATAATTTGCAACCCACCATGTTATAAAATAAAATAATTTCAATGCAATATTTTTCATTATTTGATCCTTCTGCTTTTTAACCCTGTTTTACATTTAATTTTACTGCAGTATTTAACCAATTAGTAAAAATTAAATTGGTAATATTTTTCTGTTTACTATCTTTACGTTTATGAGAATTCTTCTTACTTCAAAATGGTAGTATCTTTATGTCATTTACATAGCTTATTTGACCAGGTCTGATAATTTTCAAAGCTGTAATTCTCTGTATGTCATAATATTTACTTTGTTGCCTGATGTGAGCAAGTATTTTCCCTTTGTTTTGAAAAGCTATGATACAGAAAACAGCTGTTAAAATGTATTGCATTTACTAAAATGTTATGGGAAACTCTTTGAATGTTAATTAAGAATATCATATAAGCAAAAACAATGAGCTTAAAAATGTTTAAAAAGTTCTCACCTGCCACTTGTTTAGGATAAAGTTTGACTTTGGGTTTTACTGCCAAAAAAGTTTATTATTCATTTATTAACCTCATACTTAAAGAAATTAAATTATAGAAGAAAAATTACTCTTACTGAATGTAACACGGGTAATAAATTATTAATAAATAGAAATTATTTCTTTCTCTTTTTTAAAGTAAATATAAGCATGTGACAATTTGGAAAATAAAATAAACTCACTGTTTACTATACATATTTACTAAAAACTGAATTATGATAAAATGAAAAACGTGGTTTTAATACTTACACTTTATAAGTGAAATCTCCCAACAAAGAAATGAAGGGAATTATGAGAAGTCCAAACCAAAATACACTTGAACTAAACACCATACGATCCTATTTCAAAATAAAAAGTTAAAAACAATATTTGACAGCAGTTAATTGCTTTACAAATCCAAAAAATACTGAAATGGGTCACAACACGAAATTTAAAATATAATTAATACAGTCTTAATGGACATGTACTTTGAATCAAACTATTGTTTGAATGCACTGATAATAATGAATGACTGTTGGACTAGGAAATTTGTTTGTTTTTGCATATTTGCATTAAGCTATTCAAAGGCAATCTGTGCATAGCTGTCTAAATTGAAACTGATAGGCTAGTGGAAAGACAGCTAGTCAACAACACTCACCACGAACTCTTGAAACTATTATTGTCTGACTGAATAGTCAGACATGACCACCATTATAAAGCACTCACAGCCACATAGTGCAGAGTGTGACTTTTTTTCTTTTGTGGTAACATGACATGAATAACAGACTCTACAGATTCATGGACTTGCATGCTAACTGATATTAAGTTATATTACAAAAGTTTAATTACGTTATTATTGAGTTAGTTTAAGTGACATTACATTACTAGTTACAGATGGTGAAAACAGAAACAATCTGAATCTAGAATGGTCAGGGTTAAGGTTTTGATAAGATCACCAATGATTTACGGGAATAAAACTGTAACAAAATGAACTCCTTGGCATTAATATAGCCTACATCAATGGGGTGTACTTCTGATCAGTTGCATTGTGATGTTAAAGGAGGTTCTGTCCCATCTTTCATTCAGTGCAACACCAAATCCTTTGATGTCATGTGGTGTTCAAAGATGTCCCAAAGATATTTTATGAGATTTAGATCAAGACTTCTTTCTGGTCAATACATGGCCTCTTCAATTTCTTGTTGAAAGTAGTTCAAATCACAATCCTGGTAATATGACACTGAGCATAATCTGTATTAAGACAAAGTCAGTTCTGATTGTCCACATTATAGGTTGTACAACTGGGTTCAAAACCAGGTCTATTTATGATCAATCAGCAAATACATCCTTTGGAGGCAACAAGATTTGTATGTACAATAATATTAAGGCTTTCATACACAATAACCAAATCATTATACAACTTGGTATATTCAACAATGATGCATTGAGAATATAAACTCTGGATAAGAATCAGTCAGTCTTCTGTTTCTGATGATTTCAACAAATTTCTAAATGACCTGTGAATTACTATGTGGTGTCTACACTTTAAGTCAGACTCATGAGGTCTGTTTCTTTAGTTTGGTCATTGCTAATCATTCCAGGTACTGTCCTGAAGTTCATGTTGAGTTCAAGACTGGAGATTCCTAATGGCCATATTGTGGCAGATAGCAGTCATTATGTGGTGAATTTGGCCTTCCACAAACCTTTATAAGTTGTTTAGTGTATGGATCAGTTACATTACAATGCATCTTCACCCTTCTCACTACAAATATAGATATATCAAATGACTTGCCACTTTTTCTATTTTTGTCCATTTTCAAACTTCTGAGCAGCTCCTGTGCTTTAACCACATACTGTTGTACATAAACAACAGCCAAAAGTGAGGTGATACCAAAACATCATATATTCAAATTTCAAGATAACATGTGCAAAGCACATCAAACATTTGTCACCTTAATTTTTTTACAGTCATGTTTAAGGAAAAAGCTGCATGTGTTAATTAAAGGTGTGACCACAGAAATGTTTTGTTTTATTCAACTTTCAAAAAGATTGTAATTGTATCTATTGGCCCCTGCTTTTGTTTTCCAAGGCCTTTAAGGGAAGAGATACAAATTGTGATTACAGTTTCTTTATGTTAACCATCACATACCATGTTTATATCAAAATCTATTATGAGAAGCTGACTAAAGAAACACATGCCACTCAACCTTCCCAAATTTTTGGCCAACTCTTGCTCTCCCAGTTTTACTATTAAAACTACTGCATTTTGTATCTTTTCATTTTATTGAAAAAGCTATTTACTCAAAGTTTCTATCAGCCTTGACTGATTTTTCTGTTTAGAAAACAGATTCCTATGTGAAATGACGCAGTAGAAATCATTCTCCAAGCAGAGAATGCAGGCTACTGAATGCTTCGAATAAACATGCAAATGAACAATGATTATTAATACTTCCATTTTTGATTATTTTAAGCTAAGGTTTGTGATTATCTATTATACACAAAATCTCTCTGACAGTACTTTCTAATGTTGACAGATATATAAAAAAGTATCATTGTAAATCTAGTTACAGTTGACATTGATAAAATACAGTTTTAGCATGTGGTCTTAAGTTTTCAGTAACACCTAAAAAATTGAATTTCTCATTTAAGAAGTTCTAAACTCCCATAACAGGAGTTAGTCGTTACTTATTTACTCACTAAGTGGCATTTGGAAAACATTTTAAATGTGACATCTGATTAAAGAATTTCTAGTTTTCACTCTTATAAATCAAAAATTAAAATAACTTTATAATGTACTAAAATATTTAAAACAATTAAAATTTAAGTCTTTTTAAAATGTTATTCTAAAACCTGAAAAAAAAAGTTTTTACATTTGAAAAGCTGAGCTGAATATACTGTGCATTTCAAGTCTTATGTGATAATACAATATTGAAAACTTTAGAATCTGATCTCTCTAATCATAGAGAAAAAACAGATTACAGAAGTATCCAAAAAGTCAAAAATACAAATTCATTTCTGCTGCTTGTGGGAAGCTTGAATGTTCTATCAGCTTTATGCAGAACATTGTTGCTTCATGAGAAGATGAATGTCCAACCAGCTCTCTCAATACCTGTGGTACAGGAACCATCTGTGGCTATCATGACAGGTGACTGTTCACCATGGTCTTTAACTGGGTGCTAACAACTTTTTTTCTGTTTCACCTTCTGTCCAATTTTTAAATGTTTTGTCTAGGATCACAATGGCAGCAGGTGCTTATTTCACATAGGGGCAGCTAAGATCAGGTGGTGGTAAACAATTATCTCAGTGGTAGTTGTGTGACACCTGTCTGCCTATGGTGGTTTCCTGTCTGTAGGGTAATTTTGGAGCTGGAATGTTCCAACTGAAAAGGGCAGTGGCTTGATGATGGAATTTATGGTTTTTACACTGCAAGCACAAGTGAAGAATTTTGCTCCTCACACTATTTGTGCTCTAGAACACTGATGAAGCTTATTAGGTGGAATAGGACCTTAAAGGGATTAGCTGAAGTATATCATATGTATATTTTAAATCTTATCTAACTGCTTTGTACTCATACTTATCACCATTAGAACATAATCCAGGATGAAGCAAATATGACTTTGTAGAGCATAAGCAGGTGATGTTCTTCAGTTCTGTTTCTTCCTGCAAATTTCAGAGCATTGATGTCTTTGGTAGCTTTGGTTATTATGGTGTTACTATAGCTGGTGAAGTTGAGTTGCCTATCAAAGATTCTCCCTATGTGCTTTAGTGTTTCTTCCAGAAGGATGGCAGTGCCTGCAGATGATAGTGATGGTTTGTTCTCATCAGCATGCCTGTTAATGAAAATGCAGAATATTGCTGTGGCTTTAGCAGGATTGATTACCATTCCTGTGACACTGCACCATTTGTTTGCCTTGCTCAGTGATGACTGCATCTTACTTTCACCAGAAAGTTATTAGCAAAGGTTAGCACAGCATCTGGTTAGTCTGTTAAGGTGAGCTAGATCCTTGTATATATGTTGAAGAGGACTGTCAAGAGTGGTGATCCTTGAGGCAGACCAGTATTCATGGTTATTCAATCTAACTGTAAGCTTCCATTTTTGATGATGCATCTTTTGGTAGTTAGTGCAGCTAGGAACCATCTTACACATGTTAAACTCATGCCTATTCTGAACATCTTATCAGTAAGAATTTGCAGTTAGGACACTATTGTAGACCTCTTCCAAATTTAGTACTATGGCAAGCTATTCTGATGTTCCATGTAATGATGAGGGTAGAAGAGGTTCAATCTGATAGGCAAGTCTACTATACACAGCTTTATCTGGGACCATGTTAACAGTGTTTTGTAGGACAATGATTTAATGATCTTTAAGATGAGAGTCATCTTTCACGAGGTTAGGTAAGGATTTAATAAAGACATCAGTTCATATTTCAGGGATGCTATCCATTGCTCAGCAATAATGATACTCCAACACTAACTTCAATAGGTTAGCTTTCATAATTTTCTTAAAGCTGAAGATTTTTCTATCATCTAGGCCTAGAGCTATATCTTTAGCTGTATTTATGGCTCTTTGTATCTCATCCAAATTAAAGATGGCTTCCATATCTGCATGTAGTTGTAGTTCTGACAGAGACTGCTGTAGCTTGGGCCTCTCTTGCATTTCACCATTATCATACTGATTGATGTATGTCTACATAAAGGCCTAGCCTTGGTCTTCATCTGTACAGTGTGTAGTGCTGTCATCATTTTAAATAACTGAAATCAACATGCCTTTTGTTCCTGTACCAACCGTGTGCTAGTGGAAGTGCCGAATGAACAGGCTGTGTGATTAGCTTTGCTTCACAGTTCATACCATTTCATGTCTCATGCTTTGGCTACTGATCTCTTGTAGAGAGCACTGGCTTTATTATGTACAATCCCCACCCTTTTTACAGGGCAAAATCATGCTTCATCTGCAAGAACTCAGCCTAGGCTTTACTGCATGCTTTTCGGGCTATATAACTATCACTGTTCCATCAGTATGTAGTGTTGCTGCCTTGACTTTGCCCAGTGGTAAAGAGATGCTTTGAGGGTATGAGGGCTACCAAAAAGCCTGACATCCTTGTATGGGTTGCTCAATTGTTTTATAACACTATGTCTTCCCATCTTCACATGCTCCTCATACATAAGATGATAACAACTGACACTGTGTCCCCTATGCCGGGTGGAGATGACATTCAAGGGTTAGATAAATGATAGAGATCTCTTTCACTTTGGCACTCAGAGATTCTTGTTGGTTCACTCAATTTTAGCAACTAGTATAAGATTGGTGGATATACTGTGGACAACTGAAAGTAAACCTTTGTCATTAATGTTTTCATCCACACCCTAGATGGAGTACCTGATACTGTAGTTTCCTATTGCTAGATAATAGGAGCATGGTCAATCATGAACCTCAAATCTTCAGCTATAGGGAACTGACAATTTGCTGCCTATCAACACATACACAGAAACAAATAAAGCTCAATGTAGTAAATTCTTCTCACATTACCAAAACTGCATCAAAACATCTAATGAGAAGCTAAACAATGCATATTTTAATATCCTTTCCAGTGCTGACATACAATAATGCTAAGTATTATAACACACTTTTTATTATACCGTTAATAATAATAAAACTATCATATATGAACTTTTATTCATACTAGGCATAAAACACCCAGAAAATGCCAAGTTATTTGTCAATAAATTAAATTATACAAGTTTTATTTTACCAATTTATAAAATTAGTAAAATGTATACTACCTTTTTATTATTATAATGCTAATGAATGTATAGTCTAACATCCATCAGAATTCTATACTTTCATGTTATCTTTCTTGTCATTACAAAATAATTTTCCTCCACTGCATTATTTTTTATGTTAAGTTGGTCTTTACAAAAGATCTTAAAAGGTACACACAATATTCCAATAACTGAATCCACTTGAAATTTTGAACACACACTGTGTAAATTAAACTTTTTGTATCTCTGAAACAGGAGTAGTTGAATGCAATAAAATGCATGTGCATAATGTGATAATTTCTAAATTTATTGTTATTTGGTCTATTAAAGAAACTATAAAATATACTGACATATTCATTTCTTCATTTTTCCTGTGTGATATCCTAAAAAAGATATCTTTGCTATATTTTTTAACCCAAGAGAATATTCCAATTACAAGAGGGTCATGTTGAAGATAGATATTACTTCCAATTCTGTTGTTACAAAATATAATCTACTTGTGTGTGTGCTGTACATTAAGTTACTGATCTTACATTTTTTTGCAATAAAACAATCACTTCGAACTGTAGAATCTTGTAAAAATCAGCCACATTTAACATTTTATTATTAATTTAGTGTTTCCTAAGAAAAGCATAATGTTACATAATTAAGTACCATAATGATTAAATGTCAGGGAAATAGTTTCACTACTCGTGCTTAAATTTCAATATTATTCAATTACACCTCAAAAAAAGATGTCTATTTTTGTTGGCTTTGACATTTCAAAAAATGTTTTATGTGATTTTCAAAGATCATACAACAGGTATTAAATAAACTTGTGAAAAAAAAAAAAAGTAGTAACTTACTATTCCTCTCATGTCTGGTGCAATGGGAAAAGTTGGCCAGATATTACAGTAGAAGAGAAGAAAGATAAACCAGCTTCCAATACTGCCCCAAATAGCCAAGTGTGTGAGCTTATGAAAGACAAAAATTGCTTTTTATAATCTCATTTAATTTAATGTAAACATTACAAGTAATCATGCCTAGAAAAGAAAAGAGATTATCTCAATTGGATAATGGCAACAAACAATGAATGAGTATTTTTACCCCAAAAACATGCTTTTGTATTAAAAAATACAAACAAATTAATGCTAAAAATGTCTAGAATAAAGCAATATTATATATTAATTTCATTTACTCATACAAAAGTTTAATTCATAAGTTCTTATTCAAACTAGATTCGTACTGAAAATTATTATAATTAGTACATCTTTTAAATGAACAGGGGTGGTGCTGTTGGGAATGCACAAGAGTGCTGTTATGGCATACAAAACTGGAGCTGAGTCTCAACACTTCAAAAAGTAAAAATATGTATATAAAGATTAAGGTATTCAGGTTTTACCCAAATTTAAAGGTCTTATATAACCACACTCTGGTTGTTTATGATCATCATGTCTTAGTGCACACACTGTCACTCTCCCTCAGGAGCTAATATCAGGTATCATGCAACAGCTCCAGCTCAAGAGCAGGTATCAGTGTTTGAATGATCAAGTATTTTTTTGTCATATGCCATGTACTTTATTAACATAGATGTATAAGGTGTTGTTGTTGTTTTCCATTGCTGCTTAATTTAAAGGAAATTGGGTTGTATGTTTTTCTCAATAAATATGTATTTAATTTATTACTAATGTAAGTAGTCTTAAACAATTACTGTTGTATGTACTTTTTTTATTTAGAATGGACTCAGAGGTTTCAAATATGAGGTCTTTAGCTCAATGGTAATGTCACGTCTTGACAAAATTTGGCAGAGTTCTAGCAAAATAAAGTTCAGTACAACGCCACTCTAAATGAATGAAGACTTGCACATTTTTGGTGAATATTCTCAATGACTTTCTTTGCAAATAGACAAGTACAGCACTTTAAAAAATTATATTCTAAATAAGATGTGCTTTATAGCACTAAAGAGAAGATATAGCTTCAGAATTGATGCAAATTTAAATTCCAGCCTATTCTAACTTGGAAAAGAGTTCTAAAAAGAAGTAACAGAAGCTATTTAACTGACACACTAAATTCTTACATAGCATTATAAATTATACTGATTATACAATACTATGTCGATTCTCCTATTCTTCACAGATTTAATGTAAGAATTTCTTTCTCAATAAGAAACACAACAGCAATTACATATTCATATGCTTACAAATTAAATTATTAAGCCTCTGTCAAGGTATACATGGAAATATTTACAATAATTCTGAATTTTCTAAACGTATCTTCAGGAAATTTTACAAACTTTGCCTTTAGCTATTTTCAAACCACTGGTTTATTAGTAGCTGTTCACATGACATGCTGTGATGTCAAAAAAAAGATGGAAATGAGAGGTTCTAGTAATAAAAT